CTGACTCGTTGAATGTAGTGACTTCAGCAGCATTGATACCCGATTCGGTTTTTCTATCGATGTCATCGTTCGACTGCGAGCAGTTATTGTTCACATTTAACATTTTGAGGTCTTCTTGTTAATGAGAATTATTAATCTACAAGGTGCTATATAACTATATATATATTATTACGATGGTGTCTGACTCGAGGCGGAATAATTAAATAATATAAGCAAGGCACTCAAATGGCAATGTATGCGTAATCGCTTCATTGATTTGTGTAAGCACGAGCTGGGCGCGTATTCCCCACAGAAGAATGTGAGCAAACGTAAGTTCAGTATAGCTGTCCAGTGATAAGGTATTATTCATGTGCTCTTAATTTTGGTATAATATCATGGCAATTATGGTAAGCTCAAAAGCTTCATACGCGGGAATACCGGCAAGCAAAAACGAATAAATAAAAAAACTCAATTACAAACTAATTTTTGATATGAAATATGACACCACTGCTTGATACGTAGATCAAACAACTCAGCAATGAATTGTTCAACTGATGTCACTTGTATAACGATGGCGTTGGGTTGAAGATTCAGTGAATCTCTGCGGTGACTTATTCACCAAGTTTGGCATCTAGACAAGTCACATATGATCTGAAGAGAGAGAGAGAGAGAGAGAGAGAGAGAGAGAGAGAGCTCATTGCAGATGTCGGCAAAGATGGTGCAATGTTGCAAGTGATTCGCTACTAGAAAGAATGCGCTGAACTTCGTTAGCCATCGAGAATGCTGTACTAGCCGTGGATGTTTCCTGGTGATGAACTGATCGCTAATGGTGAGTAATAGAGCATGTGTTAGGTTGGAACCGGAGCGTTCCTCTGCAAAGTACCTTGCTGATGGTACTGAGGCGTCATCGCATAAAGTAAAGGAACAAAAAAAATTTCTAATTTTTTTTGGCAATTTTCAATAGGCTGTACTTCAGTGATAAATTATCGTACAGAAAATAAAAAAATATAAATTTTGAAGCTTGAAGCCTCTAGATTTCGAATTTTTTGGTTACAAATTTTTCGGAACACCTTTAGTCATGCAATTCTTGGATAAAGCAAAAAAAAAAATATTCCAAAATTTCTACCTTATTATTTTATTCTATGGGCATGAACAAATTTTATCGAGCTAGACCAATGCATAGGTCGCATAGTCTCTTCATTCAGCTTCAATTTGCTTTTTGCAGGAGTCCGATACGACCATTTGTCTTCGAGATATCGTATTTTGAATGCAAAAGGATCCTTTTTCACTCAACTGCCGATATCTCTGAAACTACTAGTAGCCCAGCGAACGGACAGGGGGTTTCGTTTTTTGCAAAAGATTTCCTACAAAAATCTTACATGGTTGATTGGAAAAAAAAAGTTTTTTGTTCGTTTTCAAGACAAACAAGTTTTTTTATTACTGATATACCGCTGGCATTAGCGTTATCCAAAGCATACCAAGTGGAAGTTGCACGGTCGGATTTACGCTTCTTTTCTGCTTACTCACGTGTGTTACATTCTTCGGAATAAATGAGACCCTGTGGTTTATCATTTTCACAGTATTTAACGACTCCAAACTCTTTTTCCGAAGAGTGTGTGTGTCAGTGTCGTTTAAGCAATTTGTAGAAGAAATGTGACCCCGTGATTTGTCAGTTTCACAATATTTTACGACTCGAAACTCATTTTCTAAAGTGTGTAATGTGTATGTGTTCAGTATCGAGTATTCCTGCTTCTACTCCTAATTATAGCTGGCAACCTTTGTCGCATATTCAAAATACTATTTCGGATCATCCGTTGAGGGATCTAACGCCAAACTCTTATCAGAGTGTTCTCTAATTCTGCTAAATTATTCAGATGGGGATAATATTGATGCAATCGGCGGCCCCATATGTCCAATCTGATGTTGTTTCTCTGAAAGAATTGATGGGTGATATTCGCTATGTAAGGTCTAACATTATCTTGCCTAAAAATAAATCCTCTCCTGTTTCGTGCTAACGGTAACACGTGAAGTTGCCAAATTCAATCGATGTAACGCCTAGCATTGAGAGTATCTCGAATAATTACTAGAGAAGTACGAGAATCCCGTGAAATTGCAGCCCAAACCATCACCGATTCTCCACCGTAAGCAGCTACGGGACGAATAAAATGCTGTTGATAACGTTGACCTGTACGACGCCAAGCTTGAGGTCTTCGGTCGTTACCATGCAGGCAAAACCGAGACTCGGCAGAAAAAAAAAACGCTGTTCCAATTTCTCATTGACCAGTTCACATGGTTGTGAGCGTATTGCAGATGAGCTCTACGATGTGCAACAGTCAACATCGGTCCACGGGCAGCAGTTCGAGCACGGAGTCCAGATTCGCGAAGACGATTTCTTACCGTCGATCCAGAAATGTTTCGCGGCTGTCGTTGTTGTTGTTGTTATTGTTGTTGTTATCGCTGTTGTTGACGATTCGGGAAGTTTCGAGCGATGACGTTTGCTGGAGCAAAAGGGTCTTGGATAGCCTGTCGAATGATTGCTCGATCATTTCAACGAGTCGTTGCCCGATGTCGTCCTTGTCCAGCACGTCGTTGGTATCCATTTGTTTTCCAGGCGGAAAACAAATTTTTCCAATCAACCACGACAGATTTTTGTAGGAAATCTTTTGCAGAAAACGAAATCCCCTGTCCGTTCGCTGGGCGACCAGTAGTTTCAGAGATATCGGCAATTGAGTGAAAAAGGATCCTTTTGGATCGGACTCCCGCAAAAAGCAAATTATAGCTGAATGAACAGGCTATATGACCTATGCATTGGTCTAGCTCGAAAAAATTATTTTATGCCCGTACAGTAAAATAATAAGATAAAAATTTAGGAAAATTTTTTTTTTGTGTTTTATCCAAGAATTGCATGACTACACAGGTGTTCCGAAAAATTTGTAACCAAAAAATTCGAAATCTAGAGTCTTCAAGCTTCAGAATCTATATTTTTTTAATTTCCTGTACGACAATTTATCACTGAAATACAGCCGGTTGAAAATTGTTAAAAAAATTAGAAATTTTTTTGTTCCTTTAATTTATGCGAGAAGTGTATTTGGTTCTGTTCTTGACCGGGTACGATCCGGCGGTACTTTTTTCTGCAGTTTTGAGCTCCCCTTAACCTTAACAAAAATTAACAAAAATTAGTCTTCTTTACCTGCACGCTCTTTCGTTCGATTTCTGTCGTGCTTCTCGCTTTATTGAAAGAAAATTCTCCTTGCTTCGAAGAAAACACTGTTCTTGCTGGCTTCCTCCTGCTCAGTAGTGTCGGTGGCGCGCGTGTTGAATACAAAACAGTTGATTCTGTCTCTCACTCTCTCTTACTTCCATTGTCTCACGGATTCCATTGCTGCCAACATTTTTACACAACAAGAAAACAAGAATGAGAGTAGGCGAATGCTCTCAACTTGGTAATATCAGGCCGGGCGACGTGAAAGGAAGCGCTCAACAATGAGAAGACTCGCACAGCTTGTTGCACTGTTACAATCTGACTATAGTTGTAACATTACGTTCTATACAAGGTAATAGATTTAATTGCTGTTAACAGCATATATCGATGTACTAAGCTACTTCGACCTGATCTTTGGATACTTTAATATGTAATAATTGTATGTTGCAACGATTACCGAAAATCGTCAGACTCGCGCTAGGTTAATGAGCGGCTAAACGAGAGGAGCCGCGTTCGGTTCGCGAGAGAGAGAGAGAGCGTGTAGGGGCAATGACCGGGAGGGGAGGATCCGACCGGCAGTATGACTGTGTCACTCAGTCAGTGCGTTGACCTAACCTCCGTTTTCCCGAGCCGTTCAAGTTTTCGCTTTGGTGTTGCGAAGTGCGAGGTCGGAGGTGCGAACGTTGGTGTGCTGAGTGCTTAGTGCAGCAGCAACAACAATAGCAGCAGCAGCAATAGTAGCAGCAGCATTAGCGGCAACAGCAATACCGGCGGTAGCAGCAACAACAACGACAGCAACAGTAATCTAGGCGGTGCGGCAAGCAGCGCAGCAGCGTATTAGCAGCGTGTTAATCGGATACGGTTGGCCACCGTATCCTCATCGTCCTTGCGGTAGATGCACCATCCCTTTTATTGTTATAAGCGTGCGAATCCGCGCAGCGAGCGCGAAGAATTTGTTTGTTGCGCGCGAGCGGTTAGTTCGCGGCATCCGTGGTTTTCTCTCTCTCTCATTTTCAGCGTGTATTGTCATTCACGCGAGCGTGCGTAAGACTCTCGGCAGATTCCCCGTGTCATTGATATTATTGAATAAATCAATCCTTAGTTTTATTTAAACGAGTTTCAGTTATTGTGTCTTTCCTTTGTCCGGAGGTCACGGCAGTATTTGTTTACAGTTGATTCGAATTCGCCGGTAGCGTAGCACGAATCACGAAAATAGCGATAGGCAGGAATCTTCAACTTGGGTTCCAGCGGCAGCCGCACTAGCGCAACTAGTAAGGGCGACAGCGCCGCCAAGCGGTGAGTTGGGGGAACCCAACTCGGAATAGTGAAGAGACTCTGCGCAGGCGCACTCCGAGGCAAGGTAGGTTGCTGTGCTTTGAGCACAGAGATAACAAGGCGTCGTCTAGTCGTAATAAAGGCACTTTTAAGAGATTGTCGACTAAACGGCAGCCTGTTACAATGTATAATGATCACGAAGTAAATTTGCTATTTTGAAAATGTCGTTAGGAATTTGTTAATCTCATTGGGCTTCAATTAATCCGATTATATTTATCTACTATTATTGTTTATTTTAATATTTTGATTAAACTTTTGTTGATTGATTTCATATATGGATAATTAGAAAACGATATTTCTAAACTGATGTGATATAGTGTAGCTATTGTTGATAAATTGTACAATAAATTAATTTCTGTTAATTGTAATGAAGTGATAAAGTTCTTTTTACTTTTGATGGTCTAATTCTTATCAACGCTATAAATCTTTCCTCAACAAATTTTGTTACAGATATAAAAATTTCAAAATTTACAACTTTTTTCAGGCCTTCTCAAGAAATTTTAAAGCATTTGTTAGCTAGAAAAAATACAGATGGAGATATGTTTGTAGCAGCTATATTGAAATACTGGTGTCACGAACATGAAAATATTTTGTCAGAGCTTTTAGCTGCTCTATTGTGTACACGCTTTCCAGTAACTAGTCCTAGTAAACGAAAGCGCAGTAGTAACAAAAATCATGCTGGAACATCATTTTTCCCAACCGGAGAACAGATTTTATCACATTTAGACAAACTACGTCAATACTGTATTTGCTCATCTGAGTTACAGTTATATCATACCATCGCAATGCAGAAAGCATTGCAGCAAGTTCAACTTACTAGTTCTGATCTACTGCGTAAGAAATATGGCGATTTATTTGCTTTAGCTGAGTTATGTGAAGAAAATTCATCTTCTACGTTAAGAGGCTCTACAAGGAAAATTTCACATACTACAAATTATAATTCAAATAAAGGTTTACATAAAAGAATCATAACTCATTCAAAAGATGAGGTTGTACTAAAGAAAGTTTCAACAAAAGAAAAAACTATTGATAGTAGTGATCAAACAAGCGACGTAAGTAATAAGTGGTTGTTTTGTATATTACTTTTTTTTCATATTTTGAAAGAGATCAAATTTTTGTTTTTCTTATATTTTTATAAAATTCTTCGGGTATTTAATATAGGAAGAATATCCAATAATAATAGAATGATCATTTTCTATCCAGCTATACTCCCAAGTACTTTACGAGCGTCGTTTGGAAAGTCCGTGCAAAAATAAAAACTGCTTGATTTTTTATAAATCTTTTTTATTTTTCAATATAGTCTCCTTTTAGGCTTATACACTTCATCCAACGCTGCTCTAGTTTGTTAATCCCTTCCAAATAATAGGATTTGTCCAAGTTTGTAAAATAGGCATTCGTTTCTGCAATCACCTCCTCGTTTGAATAAAATCTTTTTCCCGTCAGCCATTTTTACATATTAGGGAACAAATAGTAGTCCGACGGAGCCAAGTCTGGAGAATAGGGGGATGTGAAATGAGTTGGAACCCTATCTCCATCAGTTTTGTGACCACAACTGCTGAGGCGTGAGCTGGCGCAATGTTGTGGTGAAAGAGGACTTTTGTGGGCCAATCGTGGACGTTTCTCTAGCAACTCGGTTTTCAAACGATCCAATAACGATGAATAATATTCGCCTGTAATGGTTTTACCCTTTTTCAGATAGTCGATGAAGATTATTCCTTGCGAATCCCAAAAGACAGTCGCCATAACCTTCCCGGTCGAAGGAATTGTCGTCACCTTTTTCGGAGCAGATTCCCCCTTGGTAACTCATTGTTTAGACTATTCTTTGGTCTCAGAAGTGTAGTGATGTATCTATGTTTCATCTACAGTGATGAAACGGCGCTTAAAGTCTTGCGGATTTTACTGGAACAGCTGCAAACCATTCTTGCAACACTTCACACGATCTCGTTTTTGGTCAATCGTGAGCAATCGCGGCACCCATCTAGCGGATAGCTTTTTCATGTCCAAATGTTGGTGCAAAATATTATGTACCCGTTCGCTTGAGATGCCTACAGTACTTGCAATCTCACGCACCTTCATTCTTCTGTCAGCCATCACCATATCATGGATTTTATCAATGATTTCTGAAGTGGTAACCTCAACAGGGCGTCCAGAACGTTCAGCGTCTTTTGTGCTCATATGGCCATTCCGAAAATTTTAAAACCACTTATAAACCATTCTAATCGAAGGTGACCATAATGTTTATCAAGCTTCTGTTTAATCTCGTGAGGCGTTTTGCCTTTGAAAAACTAATGTTTAATCAATACACGAAATTCTTTTTCGTCCATTTTTTTACAACCACTCGATTTCTTTGATTGAAACGAATGTAAAACGCAAAGTACTTGGCCGATCTGACAGAATCTTGGTCACTAACTGAAAATAACCTTGATACATACTAGTAGCGCCATCTCTCTGACTTTGCACGGACTTTACAAACGACCCTCGTATATCGCTCTTTAGGGTAATCATTGTACTGTCTATTATAAGCTGGAGAGGATCGACGTTTGTTATGTTACCAAGATTACCTCCTATTTGCACGTCGTAAGTTGCAGAAGCCGTTCTCTATCTAGCCATTTAGTAAATAGTTCTGAGACTTCACTGCTAATTGCTTTCACTAGCGTTCCTGTTTTAGCTGCGAATATCGGCACCATATCATCAGCAAATCCAATTAGCGATCCTTCGTTTGATCAGTCTCAATAGTCCATCATATATGCAGATTCCCAAGAACAGATCTTTCATTGATCCCTGTGATATTCCTGTCGAAAGGTTGATTTGAGTCTTACTATATTTAATACTATTACTACCTAGCAGTCCTAAAGGTAACTACTTCAGATCTTTAGATAGTAGATACGTTTTAAATAGCAAAGTTAGACGTATCCTTCACATCCGGTCTTGTGATAGCACAATATCCTCCTCTATCAGGCACCACGTAGAGTTTTCAATGTATTTTTCTGTACTTTTTTTATATATGTACTATTTTGTTTATGTAGGATATGCTTTTACGGAAAAAATCCCTTTTTTATTTTCTGCTCTCGTGACGAGTACTTTTTCCATCCTGTTAAGAAGTAATGTCTCCCACAGTTTTCCCACTGAGCCTATCATTCCCAACTATACGATGAGGGCTTAGCTGCACTACCTTCTTGGCCCTTGGGTGTTAGTACCAGCATCTGTCTCTCACCTAATGACGAACGTTCCTTCGGTAAGAAATTTATTATATTTGGGTTTAAGATTATTTCAAAATTTTTGGAAATTATTTGAAAATTGCGCAATATTGTTTAAGGATTGATGAAATATTGAAAATAAAGAAAAAATTTTGTGTGTTGTATTGTCGTTTGAAAAAAATAGAAAATGTAATTTTCTAATTCACGTAGACGTTCATAATTAATATCGCTTGTAAACGCAACTCATTCTTAACCTATTAAGGCCCAGGCCAAAACTGGAAGAGATAGCGTCAAACTAACTATGCGATTCATAGGTAAATCGAAAAAAAAATACCCGTGTTTTTTCTTTTGCCATTTACAATTGTTTATAAAAAGTTATTTAAGGGGCTATCCTCGTATAGATCGCGAAAAATGAAGACAAACTTTAGGAATTTTATTAAAAGAAACTATTCAATATTTTTATTTGAAACTTTTATTACGTAGTTTCTTGTAGTTTGTAAAAACATGAAAAATTTTTATATATACATAATGTTAATTAGGTGAGCCACGTAATCAAATGAAAGGTGAAGATATTTTTTTTTTGGTCTCAATTGGCGCCATATTTCGTTGTTGCTGTGTCATTCTGAAACATAAGAAACAAAGTTTTTTGACATTATTATACCAATTCCTCGTCCACTTACCTAATTTTGAAATGTTAAAAAAATTTTTGAAAAAATGGCGGACTTTTGAAAAAAAATTCATAAAAGTTTTTTTTTTAGTAATGCAAAAGAGTTATTAAATAATTTGTTAAAACAAAATCCTTTAAGTTTATCGACTAGCTAATTAAATTTCCTTTAAAATGGTATATTTTTTTTCAATAGCTTTAAAACTCGCTGAGTAATCAGTGGCGCCAATTGGGAAAATCGAAAAATTGAGTTTTCGAGAAAAACGCGTTTAAAATTTGCGGTATACAATATATTATTTTTTAATAGAATTTTTTCATACTTACAGCTACTAATCGACTTTTGCACTATTCAGCAATGCCTGCTCCATAAAGAAGCCCTTCTTCTTCGAAATGTTGATTTTCAGATGCAGTTTTCCTTTTTTTGACCAATCGAGCTTCCTTGGATGCACTCTCCGTTCTGATGTTTTGCCGTGTTACTCGTTCAGCGTCGGTGGTCTTGGCGTAAGTGGTAATGGGCAGTCCGATTTTGAACTCCAGGCACTTCATCATCTTCAAAACTGCATTGAATCCGTCATTAAAAACTACGGCAGCTATATAAGCAGCAATTTCCACGGTCTTTGCGCCACAATGCAAGTGTTTTGGTGCTAAACGCCACACGAGCGCATTGAAACTCTCGTTAGCATTTTGAGTGTAGCCACCTAAACATCTTTCCAATAAATCATCTTTGGAAAGATCTTGGTAGGTTGGAAGAAGGTGTTTTTGAACGTCCGGATGCAGTGGCGGAGGATGTTCATAGACGTTTGCTCCAATACATTGTGAGGCTTGCCATTCGCACCAACTGTCCACTCCAGCAGGGCAGTTTTCGTGCTGTGGGTTCTCGTCAGTTGAACACATGTATGTTGCTATTATAGCTTTTCTCATGTCTTCAACGGAGTTATCATTTCTTCTGATCGCAAGTCCATAATAATTGGTTAACTTTTTGATGAGCGCATCGGTGAGCTTTCCTTTTCCGCCAAGTTTTTCACTTTTTTTCAAATTTCGCAAACGCGTACCCATTCGTTTCTGAACGTGTCCAATGCACTCACATTTCTTGACAATGCAGTCTTCTCCATAAGGATTTATTTTAAGTATAGCCAAAAAAGTCTTGGAGTCACCATCGCCGATGTAAGTAGTGTACATGACGCCGTAATACTTTTGCGATCTCAAAAACATTTCGACGACTGCATCGACCTCCATTTTGCCAGCGGATCCGGCGTGGTTTGTGCTGCATTCGTCTGCGTGCTCTTCATACCAGTCCAGATATTCTTGTGTGTCTTTTTTGTATTTACATGTTGCGCACGCTTGACATAACGAGCTTTTCACGACTAAATCAATGATTTTCCCGCTCTCGTATGCAATCAAACTGGTGACACCAAGTTTTCATGAGAAACCACGCTTTTTTCACGATCCATCGCCTGAAACTTTTAACTGTAGAAGTGGCCTGTCATTTTGTTCGTTGAGCTTCTTCTCCTCTTCAATAGCACTTTGGCAACTACTCATAAAACAGATCTTCGACGCTTGATGTATATGCTCCACTATGCCATCATATGCCTTTTTACTTAATCCTTCACCAAAGTCCATCAAACTTGAGAATAAATTGAGGCCTTTCAAGCCTACACCTAAAAGTCTCATCACAAACACTATTCTACGATTGACTTCGAAGCCGTTATTGATGAAAGGGCCAGAGTTCACTTGAGTGTCACTACATCTACACGAAATCACTAGTTTCCAACCGAGACCGCGATGCCCAGCCTCCTTGAAATTCACCCGTCCTTTGCATTTTTTGCAGTACAGTAGTTCACTCAACACGGTTAAAACTGTGACAAACTCGATTATGCGGTACCGATGATCATAGTCAATCGAAACATCATCAGTAGATGCTGCTGACAATTTTCGGGCACTTGCACTAGCACCTTTTGGCTCGCCCGTTTCCGTTGTATGCTGGTTTCCTTGAAAAGAACGCTTGCGTTCTGATGCTCGATACCTCCCGGCCTTTTCACCTTTAGGGTAAGACGACATTTTGCACGCAAAACAGCAGTGAACTAATCGACAGCTACGAGAATACTGAGCCAACTGTTGTAAAACTCTTCGAAATAAACCTTTCTACCTATACTTTTAGTCGGCTTAGACTGTAGTAATCCTCTTATTTACA